AGTATGTTCATATATATATGCACTTAATACTTGGTTGGGCCTCCTTTTCGCATGAATAACCATCAATGCATCAATGCGGCGTGGCATGGAGGCGATCAGCCTGTGGCACTGCTGAGGTGTTATGGAAGTCCAGGTTGCTTTGATAGCAGCCTTCAGGTCATCTGCATTGTTGGGTCTGGTGTCTCTCATCTTCCTCTTGACAATAGCGTTAAATTAATGCCTCTTATTCAGCAGTTATAAACCACTGGTGTGAGAACACTTGGTGGTGTAAGGCCACCCCACCGTATATGGGCTTCTCATACTTTTTCTATAACTAGAACAAGCTATCTCAGCTATTGTGGCCCATTGTGGTCTCAGAGACAGTTCTTCAGTTTTTTTAAGTGGGCTTGCGTGGCCTATAACTAGATCTATAAAGCATTACTTTATACATCTTCACATTTTTAGTACACTGAATCATTAATAAGCTCAGTTTGTTTCGGTACTATATACATTCTTTATACAAGGTTGCTTTTATTAGGAAGTCCCGGCTACTCGTTGTCATGTTCCAACACGAAAACAAAAAGTTTGAGATCCACAACTTAAAGTAATCCAATATGCCATGCTCTCCACAAAACGCACCTGAATATTTTCTCCCACTGCCGAGAGGAGCTGCTAGGTTGTATGCGCTGTTCTAAGACTCCTGCATGATGCCCTCCTCAGTTATCAGCCACTCTTGTCACTGCACAGAAACATCAAGCATATTTGCACATCCGTACGCCGTTTATAGTCAGTGTTAGAGAAGGGTGCGGCCCCACCACCAGGCGGCGCCGGCACGACCACACCAGCCGAGGGACTGCACATAATTAGTTATGCTGCTGGCCAAGAACCCCAGGAGGGGATGGGCAGGTGGTATGTAAGGGGTGAAAATTAGAAGAAGTTAGGGCAGGGTTTTGGGGGGGAGAATAGAAAAAAAAAAACAAGTAAAGAAAATAAGAACCAAGATAAAAAAAGAAACAAAATGTAAGATAAGTTTAAATGGAAAAAGGAGGTTTAAAGACGAGAGAGAGAAGAGAGAGAGAGAGAGAGAGATTAACTGAGGGAACACTCAAACGACATTGAGGTACACTATGTAAAAATAAAACAGGCTTGAGCCACCTCATCAGCACACCCCCTGTTATTATAACGAGACAGCCACTTGGGACCCTGTTGTTTACTTTCCCTTAACTGCTAGGATCGTCAGGCTTAGTCAGGACTGCTATGTTGATGCGTTATTTATACATCCTCTCACACACTTTACTCGCTCAAGCTCAGGCTGCCACTCCACTTCAATATGACCACTGGGCCCGGGCAAGGAACGAGAGAAATAATTTAATGTCTGGTTATAATACCAGAAACATGCCTGTGCAAGTGCATGTGTGTAGTGCAGGCCTAGCATCTTTCTATGTCTCTCTGTGGTGTCACACACACACAATAACAATTGCTTATAGGGGTGTGCGTATTACAAACAGTGGTCAGAGCGGATTTTAAGGGAAAGGAGAACTATCAATAGCTGCTTCTGCCGAGTGATGTATTGTCACCATCCATCAGTTGTTGAGCTATCACTACCTATTCTGAATGGTTGGTCTCATGCCCAGCCCTCTCCACCCCCCCTCCTCCCGGCCGCCAACCCCCCCACCCCTTCTCCCCCCTGCCCGCGCACCCCACAACCGCCCCCCTCTGATGACTCAACCGCAGAGAGTATTTTATAAATGAGTGTAGTCCTTGAGGCCCGCCAGCTATGAAGTGCTGGCCGAGAAACGCTAAATCTGCCACTCCCTGAGACCTCTCCCGCGGAACGAGATAGGGTTGTGCCTTGGCTTCTTAAGTTGTGTAAATTGTGTCCGTTGTTGTAAAATTGTGCCTGGAGGTGTCCCGGTGGGTAGTTGAAGTTTTTTTCCCCCCAAGAACAGTCCTTGGCAGTGCCAAAGTTGCTGAAAGCCCTGCCCCCCCCCCAATTATATCTTAGTTTAACATTCAGAAAATTGCAGCTCATCCAGGAGTTTTTGTCCTTAAGGACATGTTTGTTAATTTAGATAATTGATTCATATCATCGGGCTTGATTGATAGATATAAACTGCGTATCATCTGCATAGCAATAGAAGTTAATGGAGTGATTCCTTAAAATGTTGCCTAAAGGGAGCCATATTATCATATTAGCATTGGTCCAAGTACCAGAACCTTGT